TGTGCCTCTGCATGTCTTTTAAGTCCTTTGGGTTCTGCTTTTTGCATCAGCATAAGTGGAATTATTGCCTTTTTGCTTGCCTTATAAAGAATCATGAAGGTTATGAAAGTAAATGATGTAAAAATATCCTGAAAACTTTAAAATGCTATCCATGTACAAGAGAGTGATGGTAATTGTATGTTTTCTTATACAAGTTTTATAGTTTTTGCTTTAGTTTTTAAGTCTTCAATCCACTTTCACTTGATAAGAGTTGAAGATTTTTTCCCCCATGTGAATATCCAGTTATTCCAGCAGTATTTTTTGAAATGACTATCCTTCCCCAATTGAGTTACCTTGCTCTTATAAATAAACCAATATCACACTTCTGATTTTATGTGTTTGGGCTTGTGAACGTTTGAAATGAACTTAAAAAGAATAGCATGGTTTTTTCTATCAATACCTTGATATTCCATGTTTATGATACATTCTCATTTATTCTCTTCAGGCCAGTGTTCTACTTACAAACTATGATGGAGTATTTTCCAGAGTGGGGTTATACCCTCTCTAATTCAGGTTCCAGCTAGGAAACAAAAAAGACATAGAAATACATTCATGGACTAGAAAACTCAATGTTGTTAAGATGTCACTTCTTCCCAAATTGATCTGTTGATTCAGTGCAATTCCAATCAAAATCTCAACAGGCTTTTTTGTAGAAATTGACAAGTTAATGCTAAAAAGTATATGGAAATGCAATAGGTAGAATAGCCAAGATAATTTTGGAAAAGAAGAACAAAGTTGAAGGACTTCTAGTGTGAGATTTCAGAACTTTCTATAAAGCCATAGCAGTTGAGACAGTGTGATATTGACATATGGATAGACATATAAATCAACAAAATAGAATAGAAAGCATGGGAATATATCCATATGTCTATATCATATATCCATGGTCACTTGGTTTTATTTTATTTTATTTTGTTTTTGACCAAGATGCCAAGGCAATTCATGGGGAAAGGACAGTTTTTTCATAAATGTTGCTGAAACAGCTGGATATCAAATAGAATAAATAAATAAACCATTAACCTTTACCTGACACAAGCCGTAAATATTAACTCAAAATGTATCAAAGACCTAAGACAAAAGCTGGAAATCTGAAACTTCTAGAAGAAATATAGGAGAAAATTTTTGTAGCCTAAAGATGGACAAAGATTTCTTAGGACACAAAAAGTAAGGACTACAAAATAAAAAATTTATAAATTGGACTTCATCAAAACGCAAAACTTTTGCTTTTTGAAAGACATTGTTAAGAAAATGAAAAGACAAGCCACAGACTTGAAGAAAATGTTTGCAGGATACATTATCTGATAACAGATCTGTATCCAAATCATATAAAGAACTCTTAAAACTCAGTAGTAAGACAAACTACCTAGTGAAAAAATGGGCAAAATATTAGAGTACTTTGTGAGCTGACCTGGTGACTTAGTGGTTAAGTTTGCGCACTGTGCTTCGGCAGCCCAGTGTTCACCCATTTGGATCCCAGGGGTGGACCTACACACCACTCATCAAGCCATGCTGTGGTGGCATCCCATATACAAAATAGAGGAAGCTTGGCACAGATGTTAACTCTGCAGCAATCTTCCTTAAGCAAAAAGAGGAAGATTGGCAACAGATGTTAGCTCAGGGTCAGTCTTCCTTACCAAGAAAAAAAATTAAAATACTTTGTTAAAGAAAATATAAGAATGGCAAATAAGCACATGCAAAGATGTCCAACATCATTAGACATTAGGGAAAGGCAAATTAAAACTACAAGACACCACTATACGTGTACTAGAATGCTGTTAATCAAAATCAGCAATACCAAGTATTGGCAAGGATGCAGAGCAACTAGAACTCTTAATACATTGCTGGTAAGGCTCTTCAATGATACAACCACTTTGGCAGTTTCTTTTAAAGTTAAAATTACCATATGAACAATTATAATCTTACCTCCTTACCCAAAAAGAAATGAAAGTGTAAATCAACAACAAAGACTTGTACATGAATGTTTATAGTATCTTTTTCATAATTGCCCAAAACCAGGAATAACCCAAATGTCCGACAGGTAAATGGGTAAGTTGTGATACATCCATGCGCTGTAATACTGCATGCAACCAGTGTGTGAATCTCAGAATTGGTATGCTGAGGAAAAGAAGCCACATGATTTTGTTTATATGAAATTCTAGAAAAGGCAAAACTAATGTCTAGTGACAGAAATCATTATCAATGATTGCTTGAGGCGGGCTGGCCCTGTGGCCAAGTGGTTAAGTTCGTGTGCTCCGATTCAGTGGCCCAGGGTTCACCAGTTTGGATCCTGGGCATGGACCTACGCACCGCTCATCAAGGCATGCTGTGGCAGTATCCCACACAGAAGAACTAGAATGGCTTACAACGAGGATATACAGCTATGTACTGGGGCTTTGGGGAGAAAAACAAAAGGAGGAAGATTGGCGATAGATGTTAGCTTAGGGCTGATATTCCTCACCAAAAAACATACCTTAAAAAAAAAATGATTGCCTGAGCATGAGGAAGTGGGGTGTTATTAATTGCAGAAACGTATGAAGAAACTTTTGGGGGTGATAGATGTTCTTCACCTTGACTGTAGCTGGTCATTACACAAGCGTATATATTTGTCAAAACTTGTTAAAATGTACATAAAAATTGGGTGCATTTTGTGTTGTATACAAGTTCTACCTCAATAAACTTGAGTTTTTAAAAGTGAGAGAGACTGAAAAATTGAAGTAAAAATAGAATTTAAGCCACTATACAGAACTGAAAAATTTGTGAACTCCGCTTATTAGGGATTTTAATTATTTTAAAGTGATAAATGACTAGTGACTACACAGGAGTAGCACAATGTCATTCCTTTCAATCTTGCTCACTTTCCACATTATGATTCTGAGGGGGAATGGAGGGCATCAAAGTGGAAGGGAGACTAATTTGAAACCATTTTGGATAAAATCACATCATGTCACCACCATCATACCAGTCCAGTCAACTGCTCAATTCTCTACAGGTGTGTGCTCTTTTGCTGCCTTTTTTATAGAGATGTTACAGAAAGAGAATTATTAAATGAGATAAAAGTTAGGAAAGAAGTTTGTAAACAGTAAAGATTTATAGAGGGATAAGGTGGTGTTATTTCAGGTTGCAGCTCTATGCACACAACTTTGGCCTATAACAGATTTATGCTATCCAACTTCTACTAGTGTTCTATCACTAGCTCAGCAATTATATTTATATCTTGTTAGTTATCTTATACTTTCCTGGTCAGAAATTTTCTCACCTCAACCCCCCAGTTACATTTCTATCTACCTTATTTTTGCTGTATTTCTTTGTATCTTATTTGTGAAAAGATTGACACCATCCTTCAAAAACATCTTTATCTACCCTTCTTGTAACTTCATCATGCCTCCATATTTTCATATGTACCACCATTTTGTTGTTGTTTTTAATTTCAAAGGAGACAGAACCTCTTTTCAAAGACCAGCGTCTCTTCTGTGCACTAAATATCAGATCCTGACTGAAGCACCGAGCTCCCCCACCACCATCACCGTTTATCCCCCTTCCTTTCTAATGGAGATAAGGTCTCCTCATTTTGGAAAAACTTTTGATTGAGACCCATTTTTCTCCATCTGTTTTTACCTATGTCACTGCAGAGCTTTTTAAGCAGAAAAGGCCTTAGAACTAACATCACATTTTCTTTCAATGGAAGAGTGACAACGTGATGTAGTAGAACAACAGTGGGCCTAGAAAGCCATGACAGCAAGGTAATTTTAGATTGTGGTGATGCTGTGAAGGAAACAAACAGTGTGACGTTACGAGCGTAATTGGAGAAAGGGTTACTTTGTATGAACAGTAACTTGAAATCAGAGTTTTGTCTGAGAAAGGAAGTTTCCAAATCTTGATCTCTGCGAGAATGAGGAAGTTTAAATGAATATGAAAAAGCATCTTAAGTATTTGAAAATCTTCCATTTTCGACAGTGTTCATTACATAATTTTGATTATACCGTTTGGATTTTGAAATCTCATTTTAAGGCAAAATTTATTTCCTAATGGTCATTGCCAAATTTCAGAAGTCTCATATATTGCTTCTCTCCAGTATTAAGTGAAGAAAAGTAACCTTGACAAGGACATTATATGTATCTCATTGTGGTTGGTCTGTATTGAATACTTACCACATGCGAGGCACCATACTAGGCACTGGGACTAAACAGAAATAAACTAGACACAGCCCTTTCCCTCAATGAACTCAACTAACGCAGTCTTTAGGAATAACATAGGTGGTTTAAACTTATCATTGACTTTAAAATAGATTCACTCTGGCCATTATAGAGGAAGTTGGTTCCTCACTAGTTTTAAGAAGGTATTTTAAGACTATGTACTACTACTTTCAAAAATGGCTTTATCAGTCAAACTTCCATATTCTACTGGAGTTTACATTCTAAATAGAAAGTGAACATAGGCGTATGAGAAAATATATGAAAAAAATACATGGACCAGCTGTACAATAATTGGTGAAAGATCACTTTCAGTTGAGTTAGTCATGGGAAAGCTTCACTCACAAGTTAGTCTTAAAGGATAGGTATGAATAGGTGGAGAATGGAATGAAAGCTAATTGGGGGGATAGGGGTAGGGGGGAGCATTGATTATAAAGGTGGAATTAAATATCAAGGTATATTTAAAGGACGTGGATAAATAGGCTTGACTGGAGTGAAAGGTTTGTATTGGTAAATAGTAAAAGATAAAGCAAAGTCTTTTAATAGAAAATAAGGTTTTGGCTGTATCACAATAATAATATGTTCCTGTAATTCTAAATTCATTTACAGTCTATTTGAATATTTCTTATGTAAACGGGTTATCACAATGTTATAGTTTACAGACGTATCGTGACTTTAAATGTCTTTATTTACACCCCTAAATATGTTCTATAGATTTTGAGGCCAGAGTCTTCAGTCCTACTCAGGTTAAAATGATGTTTTGTTTTTCAGTTACTTACACGCCAAGTCAATCATCCACAGAGACCTCAAGAGTAATAGTATCCTTCCTGAAATTTGTCCGCGAAGTTTGAAAACATCCTGACTTTTTCTTCATTTTTGTCTTCACTCTATGTAAAAACAGTTTTCATGCTAAGTTCAATATACTGTAAAGAGAATTAATAAATGGGTTTGCATGAGAGTGTACTAGAGCAAGGTGCTATGACCTGCCTTTGGTTTCTGAGTGATTGAGCATTACAAAAAAATCCATCAAGTCTTTATGATAGTAGGACTCTTTGATTGCTTGCTACATTCTATCAGCGCCATAAAATGGATAGTTTTGTAGCTATCTGCTGGTTTGTTTCAGTGCTCTGACCTTGCTCAGCAGTATTTGAGATATAACTGAAGGCTCTAAGTTACGTAAAAGTGAGATGAGAAAAGCATCATCTTTCCTCTTCCATAAATCCAGATTAAGGTCCTGTCTGCCAGCCGTCTTCATTCCAGTGAAGAGCCTTTAGGGCTTTCCCGGTAGTGCCAAAAGAATATTTGGGTCTGTATTACTCAAGTCTAAATAAACTTAACTTAGGAAAGCATCTCACCTCATCCTACCACATTTCAAGCCCCCAAAATCTTGTAAGCAAGTCATAGAGGCCAAAAAGAACTAGTTATTTTTTAAAGCATATTTGTTAACTTTAAGAGGAAATATGAAGCACTTTAAGAGGAAATGAGACGTACTATACTTTTTTAAAGAATGTGATATAGAATTATAGAAATTAGATCTCTTGTCTAAAATTTTCATAATGCTTGCTCTGATAAGAAAATGAGATCTATTGTTTTCCTTTACTTATTACACCTCAGATATTTTTCTTCATGAAGACCTCACAGTAAAAATAGGTGATTTTGGTCTAGCCACAGTGAAATCTCGATGGAGTGGGTCCCATCAGTTTGAACAGTTGTCTGGATCCATTTTGTGGATGGTAAGAATTGAGGCTGTTTCTCTATTAAGTGAATTTTTGGACCCTGAGATGCTGCTGAGTTACTAGAAAGTCACTAAAGGTTTCAACTATAGTATTTTCATAGTCCCCAATATTCACAAAAGTCAATGTTGGTCTTATCTTTTATGTAAATAGGTTTTAACTTCTTTCTTTATCTTTAAAAAGAATATTATGAGACCAGTTTCAGGATATTTCATAGAAAAAATATGTATTTTATAAACACTTTAAATTTTATTCAGGATTGTCTCTTTAAAATATTTTGCATTCAAAATGTTCTGTGTACCCTGTTTAAAAAAAAAGTATGCAATTTAAACAGGTGTGATCTGCAGCCATTGTTAAGGTCTTGCTTAGAGAACTACTCCTGTTAAAAGAAAGACTGTTTCACAATCTTATTTAAGCTCAAATTGGAAAGTTACTTCCTTTAGACTAGAAAGAACCATATAATTATGGGGCAGCTGGGAGAGGAAAGACCAAAAAAAACACCAGTAGATTTTTAACACTGTCAGCCTAGTGCTGTCCTGCATAGCTCACTCTTTCTCTTTCTTTATTCCTGTTTCTGCTTTGTGGAAAAGAAGAAAGAGAAGTTGGATGGAAGAAGGGAACTTCTTTGCAGTTACTTTCAGCAGACTGAAAAGGGCAGTCATAGGAATTGTTCTCTAAGCTAGCAGTTCTCAAAAGGGTCCCTGAGACCCTTTCACAGGCCCCCAAGGTCATCCCTGTGTGAGACCAGCATTTTCTTCATATTCTTCAACCAGAAGAACACATCACAACAGATTGAATGCAGAAGCAAATATGTGACTCCAGCTGGCTGCTGTTAAACCAGACAGTCAAAAAGAATTGCTTTACTGTTCTTACTAAACATTTTTTTTGTTTTGAAAATGTAGTTACTTTATATTAAAAATGGGTCATCTGTGTTAACATCTAATGGTTGTTTTCTTATTTAAATGAATTAATAAATATTTTAACAGTTTCTTAGTTAAGTTTTAATGTGATAAATATCCACAGATACAATCCACATAAACAAAAGCTCCTTGGGGTCCTCAGTAATTTCCAAGACTGGAGGAGTCATGAGACCAAAAAGTTTGAGAACCACTGTTTAGAAGTTGAATACAGGGTGACCCAGAACTGTTAGTGCAATTGTAAGCTATAGTTAACTGAACCTGCACTAGGACTTTGAAACAGCTTGCTGAAAGGAGAAAAGCTGCAAGGGCTTTCAAAGCCACGTTGGCCTAACTTCCCTGAACTCTGTAGCAGTCCCCAAGAGGGGAATTCCAGGAGCTAAGTTCACACACTCCACTTTGGCAGCCCCGGGGTTTGCAGGTTTGGATCCTGGGTGCAGACCTAACCCTGCTTGTCAAGCCATGCTGTGGCAGGCATCCCACATAAATTAGAGGAAGATTGGTATAGACATTAGCTCAACGATAATCTTCCTTGAGCAAAACGAGGAAGATTGGAAACAGATGTTAGCTCAGGGCCAATCTTCTTCACCAAAAAAAAAAAAGAGATTCCAAGGTAGGATTCTGAATTGACCAAGATAAGCCTAGGGTTAGATTCAGCTATGATTTCTTGTAATAATAACTGGAATTAGGGCAAGTGGCAAGGTGGAGGGAGGGCATTGGACTTAGTGTAGGAGAGTTGTGCTCCAGTGCTATGTTTGACTCTTAACCTCCTCCAAGTCTCTCCATCTTTAACATTGGGTTGGATTAGTGGATTTCCACCACCTTTTCTATTTCTAAGAGTCAGTAATTAGAGTTAGCTAGATTTTTTTTCTTTAATATATGTTTAACTGTTTTAATAAATAATTATAAACAAGAGTCTAATTAATAATTATAATCTGGATCTTAAGCACCTTTAAGGCACACCTTTTAACAAAGATGACAGTGTATCCCAAGAAGAGGAGGAAAAGCAGATTTTAAGTAGTGAAATTACAACACCTAAAGTTATAAAGAAAACAATTAATACATGTTTCAAAGGTGTATTATTTTAAATAGTGTGGGACAGTTAGGCTCAGTCAGGTCTCCAGGTTTGTCCTTTTTCAAAAACTTTATACAGTTAGTCAATTATAATACCTGAAGTTTTATATTTTCTTCTAATTTCTTTTTTTTTTGATACCTGAGTAGATGAGTTCATCCTTTATTCCACCAAGCTGAGCTTTAAGGCAAGAGATTGGCAATAGTACGCTTAATTGTTGAATAAATCCTTGTGTGTTGATAGTGCCTTCAGAAACAAATATGGAACATCCAGAGACTAGGAGAGAAGAGTGTTGTCAGAACCAGGGTTATATAAGTCTCTGAATTATTTACAATAGTCTGCTCAACCTTGTTTTATTTATATCTTAGAGGAGAAAGAAACCTTTGTGAAAAGTTTTACAAGTTAAATCCCTAAGTTTATTGAGTATCAAGCATGCATTTCCTGTAAATAGATGACACACAGCTTTTTATCAAGCCATCTACCAACAAGAGTGAGGTAAAACTAAATTTTAAAAAGACAGTTCTTCAACTGATTTATTGCTCTGTCCCTCACAAAAATTGTGTCCTGGCTTTGAAAATTATGTCTGTATAACCGGTCTCTCAATATTCTGGTTTGTTCATTACATCACAGTTCTGTGTGTGTTTTTTTGTCCTGTATTACTGAAAGCAGTTATCAATAAAATGTATGAAAAAGCAAGTAGATACACCCTTTTCCTTCATCTCCCATCCTTTGACTCTCATCAGGTTCTCCCACACATCTTCCCTCAGTGGTTCTTAACCATGATTGGACATTAAAACCATCTGGGGAACTTTAAAAGCTAGCAATGCTTGGATCCCATCCCCAGATTCTGATGTTATATTATCGGGCTGGAATGTAGTCTGGACATTGAGGTTAAAGGCTGCACAGGTGATTCTGCCTGCCATGTGAGAGAGTCTCACCTGCCTTACCTTGCCAATAACAGAAATCTTGTTCCAGGTCTTTCAGCCATTTTTTATGAAGTTAGTCCTGATTTTGGTATCAAATTAGTGTTTTCACAACATTTTTATTAGTACCCTGCAATTCCTCTAATCCCTTGCAAATGGAACAATAGAGAAGATTCAAGGAAGGTCAAAGAACTGTTTTAAGCTAGTATTTAACCAACCATTTATTGCATTTCATGTAAACAGCCAATAAGAAATCTAGTGGTAGAATACAGTGACTGAAATGTGTAAAAATGTAGCAAATATGACCAGGTCTGTATCTTTGCTTAAGAAGCAGCAACCAAAAGATTCCTTATACCATCTTATAAATCTACCTGCTGCCTGTTGCTTTTGTTAATGGCATGATTATATTGCTTTTGGAGGTAAGAAAGGGATTTGCATTTATCAGTCTTGAAATTTTACCATTGTTGTCTAAGATGCCCTGAGATGAGGAGAATCATTTGTATCAATGGGAAAACTTAAATTCTAAGGCGCTTACATAGTGGTTGTGCTACTCCGAGACATCTTATAACCACAGGTCTGGTATTTCTTTGCTGAATCAGAAGTGGAAAGTGGGAACTGATTTCTTTATAGGGTAAGTCATGGGAAGAATTCAAATGACAATGAGAGCATTTTGTGCAGGAAGACGATGGCTGATAAAATTTATAAAATCTTAGTAAAGTATGTGGAATCTCAGCTAATTGCCTCTTTCAGAATTTATGGAGCGTCTTTTTTTCTTTATCTTTCTTAATCAGTTTTATTTCTTTGACCATTAATAAGAGAATTGATTACATATTAGATGGGTTATTAATGGATAAAAGCATTGTTCTGGGAATTATAATAGTTTCGTTTTCAGTCTTTATTCAGTTAAAGTGAAGAATAAACAAGAATATGTATTTTTTTATGTTCTCACAGGCACCAGAAGTAATCAGAATGCAAGATAAAAACCCGTATAGCTTTCAATCAGATGTATATGCCTTTGGGATTGTTCTGTATGAATTGATGACTGGACAGTTACCTTATTCAAACATCAACAACAGGGACCAGGTAAATATTTACCATCTCTTGGGATTTATTTTACTGTTTGTATAAAGGCTCCAATTCATTGTAGAAAAGAAGTTTTGAGTCCTAGGTAAGCATGAGGAATAGATCTCTTGATCTTTGTTACCAGTTTTAGAAACTTTTTGTATACTTTTGGCAGTAATAGCGGCATGTAAGGCCTTTCCTTGAGATAGCATTCTTAAATGTTGGAAAAGAGTGAAATTTCTGATCTTCTGACTAGAAACTAGAGGTACCACAATGGATATACCTCATGATTCTTGACCAGCACAGTTAGAAGAATGAGCTCTGCTACCACAGTATCTGGGCTTTATACCTCTTACTCTGTTACAGATTGTGCTTTCTGAGCAGTTACTCAGCTATGAACTTCTTTATATCAAATTCTTTTAAAATTATTAAAGTTGCTCCATATTTTTTTAATTTTTAAAACTAGATAGATGGAAGGACTGTTAGATCATGCTTTCATTTTTCTATAATGAGAACTCTAGTAAGAGGGAATTTTTTACTTCTCTCTTCCTAAGTTCCTGTTCTCTGTCCCTTACCTTCCAAAAAGTGCCAACGTAGCCTCGTGCAGCTCTTTTCCTTTTCTGTCCCTGCCACGTTAAATTCACCTAGGCTTTTAACACTGGCCCAGAAAAATGAATTGTCCTTACTGAAATTACCTTGTGTCCCTCAACATTTAAAAAGAGTACAAGAGTGTGTGTGTGTGTCTGTGTGTGTCTGTGTGTGTGTGTGTGTCTGTGTGTCTGTGTGTGTGTGTCTGTGTGTGTGTGTGTGTGTCTGTGTGTGTCTGTGTGTGTGTGTCTGTGTGTGTGTGTGTCTGTGTGTGTGTGTGTGTGTGTGTGTGTCTGTGTGTGTCTGTGTGTGTCTGTGTGTCTGTGTGTGTGTGTGTGTGTGTGTGTGTGTGTGTGTGTGTGTGTGTGTGTGTGTGTGTGTGTGTGTGTGTGTGTGTGTGTGTGTGTCTGTGTGTGTGTGTGTGTGTGTGTGTATAGAGAGGGAGAGATTGCAGCAGTTCCTCTGTTAATATATTAGAAAACGATAGTTGACCATATAAACTGTGATTAAATAATACTTATCCTTTATACTGTGGTTTGTATCAGAATTGTCTGGGTAATTTGATAAAAAACAGAAATGCTGGAGCAGATTCTGATTCAGTGTGGGGGGAGTCCAAGTACCTAGATTTTTTGTAAGTTTCCCAGATGATTCTGATACATACCAAAGTTGCGAATCACCAATATAAAGAATAAAAAAAAGTGTGAGTGTGAATGTTTTATGTGTTTCATCATAACCTCCCAATCTAATGAAATGATAGTTTTGGGGTATAAATATGTTACTTAATTTATTATGTGTGTGCTTTGGTTAACAGTTCAAATCTCAATCTTTTTGGTGATAGCTCTGAGTAGCTTTCTCACTAAGAACTTCAACTAACGTGATATCAAAGACATAATCTAAGTTGCCATTCCTTTTTATGTACTTATTGAATCACTATATGGCCCCCACACAAACAGAGGTCTTGATTGTCTATTTCAAGAATTTTAAAAAATGACTGTTTCTACCCAAGTCAACACAAATTAGTTTTTTAGTTGCTATTTGGTCTTTTAACTACTTCACAGCTTTAGAATGTTGAATCTTAGCTTTGAGTGTTAAAAAAAAAATCTCTGGCTTGGCTTCTGATGATCTGATATTTTAAGCCTGCGTGAAACTTAGATTCAGGATGGACCAAAATGCTAGCTAAAGAACGTAATTGAAACATTGTACTTACTGTACTTGTGACACATTCTATCTAGATCAGTGAGATGATTGACTTGATGATGGCAGTTTAAGTAGCAAGATTGTGTCTCATTTGTAAGCTTCATGTGCTCTGCCTTTTATTAACTCAACCATACAGTGTAATACCCTGTGCCATGTTCACTTTTCATATTCATGTTATTTTTCTAGAGAAATTACAAGAGAATTTTAGTTTAGTTTTAGTTGATTTATCATAGAGATTACAAATAATAATTTATGAACCTAAGATCTGGATGAAATCCATTTGTCAGTGAATAAGTTTATTTTAATAAAATAATAAAATTATATTATGGAAACAAGTATTATCATCTCCAAAATATGGATAAAAGCATCCCAGAGTTCTACACTCATCCACTTCTTGGCATTTTAGGTGCTTTGTCCTCCATGGGAGTATAATAAATGATGTGGCAAGGGCTTACTCTCCATGAGAGAAGTAAGTGAGTGACCAACAGAAGGGTAAGGCCTTTACTAGTTAACACTTTCTGGTAGTATAGCTAGAGCCTTCTGGAATTTGCCAGTGTGAAACCAACTGAAATATTTGATGAAGAAAAAAGGAGATAAAAGAATGATATGCTCTTCACATTACCTTCATTCTACTTCATTATATTCTAGTCTGCTTTCTTCAAATAGCACTTTCCATGGAACTCCCTCTTTTGAATCGATAACGAGTTATCTGCAGTGAAGTAACCCCAAATATTGCTGCATCCATCCCCTTGATTTGATTTTTCTTACTCTCATACTTTCATCTCCATGGCTCTCAGATTGGACTTCTGCTTAAAAATCTGGGAATATTCTTCTTTTTCATGGGAGGTGGGACAACTCCTTTTTTACTGTGTAATACAGGAATCATTCGCCTGCTCTCTCGCCCCCATAGTCTGAGGTGGCAGGTTTTGCCTGTCAATTCAAAGCAAGACTCTGGTAAAGCAGTGTAATGGAATGGCAGACCTTGGACTCACGCCCTGCATGACCTGGTTGCTTTGCTTCTCTAGGGATCTTATTTTTCAATTATAAAACAAGAGATTGGACTAAAGAATTTCTTCTAATTATGAAGATCAGATTCTTTCCTAAAGCAAGTCTCTTTGCTCCTTGAGGGGTGACCATCCGTATGTTACTTTGCAGAGTAGCATGCCTTTTTACTTTGCTTCTCCTAGAGCTGAAAGTCTGAGAAGTTGATTTGTCATTTTTTCCCTTCTGTATCATTCCATTTTGCAGTCTAATCACCCTTTCCTTCCTTATTTCAGTGCAGCTTCTCTACTAAATTGGGATTAATAATGTGCTCATTTAAGCTAGGTATATTGACTCTCTACCCTCTTGGCTTTCTTTTCTTAGAGCAGAAGTGCTGTGTCATCTTAGAAGAAAATAATAGATAATGTTTGTCTGTTATTTCTATTCTAGTTATTATTGCTGTATAACAAACCACCCAAAACATAGTGGCTTAACCAAATTATGAATCTGCAATTTGGGCTATTCTTTGTGAGGAAGGTTTATCTCTATTTCACATGGTATTGGTTGGGGTAGATTCACTGGGTATTAAAGGATGTACTTCCAAAATGGCTCATTCACATACTTGACAAGGTGGTGCTGGCTGTCAGCTGGGAGCTCAGTCAGGACCACGGACCAGGAGCCTTAATTCTTCTCCATGTGGGCCTTTCTGTGAGGACTTCTTCACAGGAAGCTTGGACTTTCTCACAGCATGACGGCTGAGTTGTAAGCACAGATCTCAAGACAGGAAATGATGAGTACCAGTGTCTTATCAACACTCAAATTATTGTATTTCAATTAAAAAATTTTCAGTACCTATTATATGCAAAGCACTATGGGATATAGAGGGTACAAAGATGAATGAAACACCCGCTGTGCTGTCAGTGGAGTCTGCAGTTGTGCTGAGGCAGTGCAGAGGGTGATGTGGAAGATGAGCAGATGTTGGCTCCGGCAGTACACAGGAGTGAGTGAAGGGCTGGGGATGCCACAAGTGCTGAGTATAGACTGAGAATGCAAATCACCAGTCCCAGAATTTCAAACCAAGCTGCTGATTTTGTAGTATATATACCACTGGAGTCTTCTATCCATGAATTCCATCCAGGAAAGGCTTTCCCTTTAAGTTTAAGTAATTGCAAAGTGTAACTTCCAGTGTATTATATTAACATTTCAAAATAAAGCCATTATATCCTACTTTTAAATGTACCCAACAAAATCTAAAAGTCATACTGATTTGATACCTCCCATCACTTGTTTGAAAAATACAAAAGCTCTTCATTAATTTTTGAAAGTTTTTACATGGCTCTTTTTTCTGTTTAAACTATTTATGTTCTACTTCTCCCAGAGAATTTTTTCCCAATGTAACTGTTTTTATGCTTTAAAGCCTTTTGTTGATCATTCAAGTCACATCTCTGCAACAAAAAAATGTGTTCAGATTTAAAATTTGAAATAATTTTCCTGTGACTTTAGGCTCAATGTTAATTTTTTAAATTCTGAATTATGCTGTCGCTAATAATTATTAATATATAACTGATTAAAAAATAAGTTTTGATATATAGAAACATAGAAGGTAAAATTTTATTGGAAATGTCTATATCTTAATGAACGTGAGGCTTTTCTTTTTAATTCGTTCATATATTTGTGGATAAATATGACTTGCTAGAATGAGCTAGGACTTGGCATCAGTCCTTTTCCTTATTTTATTTTTAAAGAAGTAAGTGCTGAGAAATATTGTTCAAATAAATAAGAAAATGGGAAAGTCAGGAGTTTCGTTGTAACTGTATGCAGAGTTCAGTGGTCCCCAAGACCACCCTCAGGTTCAGTAATTCCTCACGTCTCACCGAACTCACTGAAAGTTGTTAATACTCACAGTTAAGGTTTATTGCAACAAAAGGATAGAAATTAACATCAGCCAAGGGAAGAGGCACATAGAGCAGATTCCAGGAGAGTTCCACGTGCAGAGGTTCCAGTTTTCCTCTCCCCATGGAATTCTGGACAGCACTGAATTCTCCTGGCAGCAGTGTGTGACCACATGCATGAAGCATTGCCAATCAGGGAAATTCACTTGAGCCTCAGAGTCCAGAGTTATTGCAGTGCAGTCATATAGATATGGTTGTTTACCTCTGTGGCTGACCTTAGTTTTCACCCCTCCAGAGGTCTGGCTGATACCACATGACTCAAAGCCCCCTCCATAAATCACATTGATAGCATAGACTATCTGGCGTGGCCCAAGGCCCCCAGGTAGACAAAGACACTGTTATCAGGCAGGACATTTCAAAAGTTTAAATTACCTCCCAGGAGCCAAAGGCAAAGGCCAGCCCTCTCTTTGGGCAAGATTAATTCTTTACCATATACTATATCACTTACTTATTTGAACTCATTTCTGTAACATACCAAAACTTACGTAATAACTTGTCATTAAAAATTATTTTAATAATGAACCAACAATTAATTAATTTTACTGAAAGTAAAGAATTGGAAACCAGCTATCTTGCAAAGGGATTTGTTACCTATTCATTAGAACCAAGTTGGACACCAATATTTGGAAGTGTCCCCTTGGTTTCCCAGCAGTTTTATACCCTAGAGTAGTGTGTACTATAGTTAAATCCCACGTGGGTAAAAGGTATGCCTTTTGTAAAGTGAGAGAAGGGCAGTTGTGACAGGGAGATGGGAAAAGAGGATAAGCTTTACATTTCTACTTCAGTCGTGCCTGGGCAAATCAGTTAAACAAGGGCTATTACAGCACCAAATGGGAAATAACTTACACTAAGATATCAAACTTGACTTTTTAAAATTCATCAGCTCTGCCCTCTAACCAGGGGATCTCTTAGTGGCTCTTTCCACTTGAGCCTCTTACCTGTTCCCTCTAAGATCAAAATCCCTCTCTCCTCTGTGAGTCCCAAGACGCTAACATCTGTCTCTGCTCACTCTCAAAAGAACCAAAAATTAGAAAATTAAGAAATTAGAAAAATTGTAAATCTTTCCACCCAAGGAAGACAAGCTTTTTTACTTCATTAAACAAAAGATTTTAGTTCCCAGTGGCTTCACCTTTTTTCTGGAGGAGGCTCTGATTCTCAGACTTAGATAACCAAGTGGTCCATTCGAGTCTCCTCGATGAAAGAGCTTAAAATGCAGATGCCAAAACAGCTGGTAAAAATGTTAACTGTTTTCGTTCCTTTTACATATATGTGAAGGACTTAGCACAATGCCCAATAACAAGGGCTTGATAAATTATTGTTTAAATAGAAAAGAGACACAATACAGTCTGTGATATAGAACGAGTACCCTATTAGTGAGAAAGTAGTCTGGATATGGAGAGACCAGAAGCATGGGGAGCAATTGGACTTTACAGTAGTCCAGGGGTCATGAAGATTTCCGCTTGCAGCCCATTAAGCATTGGTTCCTAGTCTATGATGTACAGGAATCAGAATACTAGCATTGTGTTTTTAAACTTTTTATTGAAGTGTAATGTATAATGTACTACAGAAAAGTACACATCATAGTGCACAGCTTGTTGAATTTTCATATTTATGTATTTTTCAACTTATCTACAAGGTTGTATGATTTGCCTTTTTTTTTCTCCCCAGATAATTTTTATGGTGGGAAGAGGATATCTATCTCCAGATCTCAGTAAGGTACGGAGTAACTGTCCAAAAGCCATGAAGAGATTAATGGCAGAGTGCCTAAAAAAGAAAAGAGACGAGAGACCACTCTTCCCCCAAGTAAGAAAAAGCTTTATGTTACCTAAAAGGATGGACTAATATTCAGATGCAGATTTTTAAACACTTTTTGTAGCACACAGTTGTATTTCATGGATTTGGATTCCATGTGGTTGTGTGCAGACTCCAGATAAGTAGACACATAAAGATGATTTTATAAAGACTGAGTAGTGGCACACCTAGAAACTTACAATCCCGGTACAAAATATTCAGAAAGACTTTTTTTTGTCTAACATTTCTCACACTTTTTGGCCTCAGAACCCTTGTACACATTTAGAAATTGTTGAAGACCCTCCCTCAAAGAGCTTTCGTTTCCGTAAGTAATAATAATTACCATTTTAGAAATTAAAACTGTTTTTAAAATATTTATTTATAAATTTATTTAGACATATAAAACCAGTACATGTTAAATAATGTTTTTGTGGAAAATAATTATATTTTCACAAACAAAAAAATCAGTGAGGGGGCCGGCCCCGTGGCCGAGTGGTTAAGTTGGTGTGCTCTGCTTCGGCGGCCCAGGGTTTCGCCAGTTGAGATCCTGGGCACGGACATGGCACCGCTCATCAAGCCATGCTGAGGCAGCATCCCACATGCCACAACTAGAAGGACTCACAACTAAAAATACACAACTATGTACTGGGGGGCTTTGGGGAGAAAAAGGAAAAATAAAATCTTTAAATTAAAAGAAGTGAGAAGAGAGGCATTGTTTTACATTTTTTGCAAATCTCTGCAAAAAGAAGACAGCTGGATTCTCTTCTCTTGCATTCATTATGTTGCAATACCTTATATCATGTAGCCTCTGAAAACTCCACTTAGACTTGTAAAATAATGACAAGTAAAAGGGAAATAATATCTTAGTGTTATGAAGATAGTTTTGATATTGTAGTATATATCATATCATGTAGATATGTAGATAAAATAGTAGATATTGCAATATAAATTCAGTGTTTTATGATGCTTAGGAAATTTCCTGAAAGCACTGTATAAATGTCTCAGTAAATCAATACCGTTTTCAAGTGGGAAATTCTGACTCCCATAGTTACTTAGCTATCGTAATTATGGGGTTGGTCCTTTGTGAACCCATATGCCTTTGAATACCCAGTCTTCCCCGGGTAACTTAGAAGTCACTGTTATAGGAATGAGTGAATCTTTTATTCCCATCTAAAGAATTAAAGACAGAATTGATGGTTTTAACAAGTCTCTCTGGGGCCGTCTCAGAGCCAGGAGGGGAGGCTAAATGGTTGGGTAGGTAGATGTTTTACATATTGGGATTCTAAGTTACTGTTCCTCTAAGGAAGAGTTTTGGTGGTTTTTTTTTTTTTAACCCAGAAAACCACTGGTTTAAGACTATTAAAGTAAAAGACCAGTATTGTTGACCACTATCAGCAGGTCCCTACACCATGTTCTCTTTTCACATCCCCGGGGCTAGAGTTTCCTATTTCACATGGTTGGTGTACGTTAATAATGCAAATTCTATCTTTGGGCCCACTTTTTAAATGATATTAAAAGGGACAAAATGGTCATACTTCTAAATATAGGTAACATTTCACTCATTGCATGGTGTCAGAAAATGAAGTGCATGTATGAATTTTCTAGGTTATTAAAGGCTACCTCTTTTAAGTATTATTTTTCAGTTTTCATTGTAGGATCTCTTTCACACAATGTACAAATTTCAGATGGCTAAAGATTCATATCTAAAAAAGAAAACTGTAAAATATGAAATCATTTTTATACCTTGAGGTAGGAAAGATTTTCCTAAGTAAGAGACAAAATCTAGAAGTGCTAGAGGTAAAGAATAGCAGACATGGCTACGTTAAAAGTTTTTAGGGCCTGGCCCCATGGCTGAGTGGTTGAGTTCAGGTGCTCCTCTTCAGTAGCGAGGGTTTCACTGGTTCAGATCCTGGGTGCAGACATGGCACCACTCATCAAGCCATGCTGAGGTGGCATCCCACATAGTGCAACCAGAAAGACCTACAACTAGAATATACAACTGTGTGCTGGGGGCTTTGGGGAGAAGAAGAAAAATAAATAAATAAAAAAGAAGATTGGCAACAGATGTTAGCTCAGATGCCAATTTAAAAAAAAAGTTTTTAAACTTCTATATAGTAAAAATAATATTGAAAGATAAACAGAAAAATAATTGTGACGTGTATAACAAAGAGTAAATATGTGTTATACAAAGGACTCCTACAAATCAGTAAATAAGAGATAATCAATAGAAAATGAGCAAAGGATATGAACTGGTGACTCACAATGTAAACACAGATGGTGAATGAACTTAGGAAAGGATGTTAAGAATTCAGTGACATCAGTAGAATGCAAAGTTAACACACCAGTGAAATAACATTTTGGTTTTACCTCTCAGATTGGAAATATCTACCATTGGGAACAATGTTGGAAAGTGAGAAAGATCCTTCCTTGTAAATTTTTTAGCGGTATTGATGGGAAGTGAATTGGTTTGGCCTTTTGAAAGGGCTTGGTAGAATCCGTAAACTTAAAATACATAGACCCTTTGCTCTGGTAATTCCACTCCTAAAAATCTGTGCTATAGAACCTGCTTCCACAAGTATTCAGATATATACAGGAATGTTTATTGTAATTGGAAAAGATAAAGACATAAAGGTCAAGGTATAGAGGAATATAGAGGACGTGGATATCAGTGAGGGAAAACAATGCAAAAAAACGTGTATAGTATGATACTACTTTAAATGGTGGTGAGGGTGGGGAAGGGCTCTGTTTTCATGTCTGCATGTTTATGCATAGGAAAGATCCAGAAGAAAGTATAGACTTGGGACCAGCCAGGTGGCATAGTGGTTAAGTTCAGGTGCTCTGCTTCAGCGGCCCCGGGTTCGCCGCTTCAGATCGCCATTGGGGACCTATGCACTGCTCATCAGGCCATGCTGTGGCAGCATCCCACATATAAAGTAGAGGAAGATTGGCACAGATGTTAGCTCAGGACTAATCTTCCTCAAAAAAAGAAAGAAAGAAAGAAAGTATAGACTCTTTAACAGTGGTTACCCCTGCAAGGTAGGATTTGTACTTTTTGTATTACTTGCATTTTTATTTATATGTTATGCTTGTAATTTTAAAATTTTTGTAACGTTGCTTACTTCTTTGCCTTCTTATACTAATCATTATGCAGATTACAGTTTAACTTAAAAAAGAAATTTTGGTAGCTCAGAAAAATGATAGTAATGGCTGCTAAGCAGGTTTTATTGAGTACTTACTATATGCCAGGCAGTGTGCCAAGCCCTTTACACATATGTCTCATGCTTATGAACATGCTTTATCATACTGTATGCCTTCAAAGGTCATTACTTGTTTCTTTGTACCTTAAAATATGCTAAATTTCTGTGTTTTGTCTGTTGGTATCTATTTGGAGAGTTTTCCTGTCTTCTCCTTCACTCTTGGGTTGTCACTTGTCACTTCTCACTCCTGTGCCACTAGCAGCCTGGGTCACTGGGATCCTACTTTTAATTATGTGTGTGTAAGACATTTCCCATTACTAAGTTTTTTTAAAGAATGAGTTACTCTGATGGCTGTTATGACGTCTTAGAGTGCTTTACTTATTTATGCTCCATCTTCTTCCCAAAAGGGACTTGTTATCTGTGAGAAATGGGTGTATAATTGGTTTAAAATTTTTTATTTACTGTTCCAAGGCTGGCACATTATCTAAAAAAGCTAACTATGGGTTACTTTCCCCATTCAGTTTACAGAGATAAAAGCTGTAGCAGTTTGGTAATTTTCTTTTCTTTTTAAGGAAAAATATCTATTTTTTTAGTATTTTTCCAGGCATTCAGGATAATACTGAAAACAATGTAAGACTTCAGATGCTTTCTTGTAAAGTGTGATGGGATTCTTAAAGATTAACAGAACTTAGATTTTTATTCTTCTTTCTTTTTTCTTTCTTTTCCCTTTTTTCAGATTCTCGCCTCTATTGAGCTGCTGGCCCGCTCATTGCCAAAAATTCACCGCAGTGCATCAGAGCCCTCCTTGAATCGGGCTGGCTTCCAGACAGAGGATTTTAGTCTATATGCTTGTGCTTCTCCGAAAACACCCATCCAGGCAGGGGGATATGGTGCGTTTCCTGTCCACTGAAACAAATTCAGTGAGTGAGAGAGAGAGTATAGGAGGGTAGGGACAAAGGAAAATGAACATATATTTGCTTATATATTTGTTAAATTGAATAGGCTGTTCTTATTTTAAAAAGGTGAACCAAAGAACACGTATGTTTTTAAAGACTGGATATAATTTTTTCCCAAGCTAAAATTCATACTTAGCATTGGATTTTCAACATCCAGGGGTTTTTTTAAATGCACAGTCCTTGCTGAAAATTTTCCGTGCCTCTTCCAGAGGCTTTACTTCCTGTTCCAAGTTTGTTTTGTTTACTTGGTTATTCTACTTATTAAACTTCAATTAAACGTTTCTCACGCACCTTTTGTTATTAGTTACCACACATCCATTCAGGACTCCCCAGACCAGCGCCCCTCCTGAGCGGGTGTTTGTAGGTGGGAGGGTCACAGCAGGTTAGCCTGTGTTAGGTCAGGCATACCAACAGATCTAATTTAGGAAGTTGCTAGAATCGAGTAAGCCTATTTTTATTCTTAATATTTATTATGTAACTATTTATTTCAGTTTGGAAAATAGAGATTTCCTTTATTCCCTTAAAGCAATAGACTAAATTTCTTTTTATAAATTATGGATGCAGGTAACCAAAGATATTGCTGATCAGTGGCATGTTTGACAGGAGTAACATGGTTTAACTTTGGATTTTTATTGGGGAAATGTTATAAACCGGAGTTCCTTTTAGATAATATTTCTTAGAATATCAAGGGTGTCTTAAACATACAGAAGTTGAATTTCCTTACAAATGCGTTGCCTCCTCTACCCCCAAAAAAGCATCACAGAATTCTGTGAGAACTTTTAGGTTTGTTTGTTTTTCTTTTAGATATCTCTGCTTGCCAAACAACCAGGTAATAGATTTTTTAAAAATTACTGTTACTTTAGATTGTGCTTAACTCTCGTGATACCTGTTTTAGCAATCACCTTATCAAACTGCCTCACAAAATTTCTGTGCTCTTTATATTCTTTGCCCAAGAAGATTCTAGTTATTATGAATGAATGCTGTTCTCTTTTTTGCATTCCACAGCATGAAGTATTTGTTGACAGTTTCTAATGCTTACGCTTTCATGTGTTGAAAATGGCTGTAATGTGGCAGTCAGCATATTCTTACTGTGAACCAGAATCGTATTGAGAATCAAAAGTGAAAAGAAGCAACATTGCTCTCATCTTATCTAAGAAATTGCCATCTCCACTTCAGAGTCAGCCTAGGGACCAAAGGCAGCCTCTTAAATAAATCTTCATTTACTCAATTTGGATTTGTGATGATTTTTAAATAGAGCTGGCAGTTCAGGGTTATTCTAGCACACAGATAACATCTGCTTAAATGCCATCCTTCTTTGAGGTCAGTCAAGAAGAAAATTGGGGGACTTTACACTAATGATAATTTAGTTTTTAAATACCAAAAATAAATTTTTGAAATACTTTCTTTATTTGAATAGATTAGATTTCATCCAGGGAAACCACTCAATGATAAGTATGGCATTCCTTTTGCTCCTCATTTGGGTAGCTTAAGATAAGTAATGCCACTTAGGCTTTTAGAAGTTGATCCATAACTTTCAATTTAAGCAAGAGTAGTGAAAAAGAACATTAACTCATATTTTAAAAAATGAGAAAAAGTTGTAAACGTCGCATGTTGGAAAACATCAAAGTGCATGATTTCTAAATCCTCCAGTGACACTAAAGATAGGATTATTAGTAATTATTATGGGGTTTTATTCACAAATTGAATAGCAAGCATGTAGCTAACAAAGTTTTTACAAAATTGACTTGGTCTGTGGAATGCTCAAAAGCTTTGAGCATTTTGAGGCATGGGAGTCAAAGGATCTTTTTATTGATAGAGCTCTTCCTATAATTCCCCAGTATACTTGCTTCACTTTTATCTTCCTTTCCTTGTTCACTCTCTTTTTTTCCCCCCACGCTACCCACACTATCCGCGGCCGGGTCCCCCACCATCTGCTTTTGACTTCTTTCTCTTCTTTCTTTAGAGGGCATTGCTAAGCTCTTAGAACTGCTTAGAAACTCATTATGCTATCCTGTAGACATTGACATGCCTCCAAAGGGTTGCATAGTATTCTCTTTTTTCCAAATTGGGCCCACTGGAAATGTTAGTAGAAGACCATTCAGAATACAGCAGGTGAGATGTTTCCATAACACGGATCTGGAGAAGTAGGAAGCGTTGGAATGATATGTGGTAGTCTCCCTTTCTGTTGTTCTCTGTTTTATATCGAGTTTTAGATATGTTCTCCAAATAAGGGGAAGCATTTTTCTAACCATATGTAGAGTTAATCTCTTTGACTAGGTAATTGAAACAGAAAGGCATTCATCCTCTTGTGACTGACTGCTTCTTTCCTAAAGCCTGAACCCTCAGATATTTTCATTAAGGTTGATTTCCTTTTTTTAGAAAGCAACCTCTTTATAAAATTTGCCTTTTAAAAGTTACTAGTCTATGATGAGGAATGAGATTTGTCTTATTAAGTTTCAGTTGTGTAGGGATCACAGTATTTAATCAGATGCTTCAGGTTTATTTTCAGATATTACAATACTGTACCAGCCATTTAAACACTAAACCAGCAGTTAAAATCATCCCATCTCTAAAATAGTAACTATGTTAACACCTCAGCTTCAAAGGCCTTGCTCTCAAGTGGGTCACTCTCAATTTAAGGAAATGATCTGCCCTTTTTTTCTTTAATATTATGAAATGGGTACTTCATGATTAAAGCATTTTGTCAGTTACAGTCTTATTTGAGTGAAAATTATTGAGCATTTCTGTAGCACTTTTTATTTTACTAAATATTTCATCTCTCCTGTGATCATTTCTCTGAGAATTTAAGAATTCCAGTGTGTCTATGCCAGAATATTCATTGTCCTTTTGAAACTACCTGAAAGGTCACCAAAAAGAAAGAATGGGACTTACTCTGGTTTCAAATGATGCCCCCTACCTCTGAGCGGTGATTGATTTATGTAGAAAATAACATACTAGATTTTTCATAGCATATTTTATCTTTAAGTAATTTTTATCAAATTATGTGTATGACAGCCACTGAAATACCTTCAGTTCTGGAATAAAGGGTAATTATTTTGTAGTATCTTAAAACTAGTTAATAAAGTCCTTAGCTTTAAAATAAACAAACCATGATATTTGAGGTGTCTGAAATCACAGGGTCTTCCCAAGTGTTCTCTGCCCTATTCCTAAACAAAGTCAAATGGAAAATAGAGCTTAGGTTTTTCTCAACCAGAAAGGAGGTAAAAAAAAAATGTTTCATTTTGGCCCCTGATTCTTCATAATATCATTATGAATATCATTAAATTTCATAATAATTTAAATTAATATGCCAAGATTTTCAAAAAGTCATAGAATATCTGGATGTTTTACTTCAAGTAACTTCACACAGCAGAGTTGACTGTTCTCTTAAATAAGATAGGGTAGAATGTAGGATAATATAGATTTCCAGATAGCAAGAAGGAATAAGCAAGGAAAGATTTTTTCCCCCCAAAAACAGATTCATCTCCTGTGACCTCTGTTTTTTCCTTAAATTTCTCCATGATTTCAGGGACATATGTAGAGTTTTGTTTTATTGATGTCTAAACTGAGTTCTTTTTGTCTTTTTTTTCTTGGACCTGAAGTCCAGTTATGAACAGAACTGCATTCTGTTAGGGACGGTAGGCTCTGGTAGGACCGTCTTAGTGTTTGCTCTGCCGGTGTTTGATGTGGAGTTTGTTGGTAAGATTTTGTGCTTTCGGGGGTAGTTTTGTGTGTTTTTATTTTTAAGGCTAATATTTAAGTTTGTAGGGTAGAACACTTCAACAAAATGGAGTGTCTGATTGTAATAATGAATAGGAAACATCTGAAGATTTTTTGATGCAGTATATAAGATTTGGCATAGAGTTTATCATTTTCTGATATTCTGTCACTTAAAGGATGAATTCCAGCCCTTGTTTTTAACGATTTCTGTTAAGTAAATCCTATTTTTACACTGGCTTCCTTTAATTAGATTTAGATTCTGCTAGATACAGTGACTACTCATAAGAATGTTAAAAATTGCTTTAAAGAAATGTATTAAAAAAATAGCAGCCTTAAAACCATAATGTACTGAAACCATAAGCAAAGGTAGTGAGAATGTTTATATATTTCTAGAGTCTCTGTTAACATAATATTCTCCTGTGGTTATGCTCTAAATATTTTACTCTCCAAGGTCTTAGCAATTTGGTTATTTTTTTCATCAGTGCCTAACTCCCCAGTCCTTTTAACGTTCAATATGAGATAATAATTCTTTTATCCTTCCTTGATCTTTTGACTCACAATCCCTTGGTTAATTGCTTTGTTAAAAGGAATCTGTAGATGGGAAGAGACAGTATCAGTATCAGCAGTCCAATTAGTAGTTGTATTCAGAATGGGAAAACAAATTATTAATTATTGAAAACTGTTTAGGGGCTTATTAATTGTTAAGACCCTGGACTTTTGGAATCAGCACCTTACTTTGCCTTCCAACTCTGCCATTTTCTAGATGTGGGATCTCAGGCAAGTTACTTAACCACTCTAAATCCCAGCTTGCTCCTTTATGAAATAAAGAGGAATAATAACACCTGCCTCATAGAGTTATTGTGAGGATCAGATGCAAATGTGTATAAAATATTCAGTGAGGCACCTGGTATATAACAGGCACTCAAACAGTTGCTAATATTATCAGCATCCAATCTGAGGGTTCAGTTAGCCTGTCATTAACAATATGTTGTTTTGGGGACATGCCACTGTTCTCTAGTAACCAGTTGGCATCTAATAGCAATCAGAAAATGGATAGGTTATTTCTAAATTAAATAGTGTATTCATTTAAGTGATTACTTGGATTCTCATGAGAAGCTGCTATTACTGAAAAAGGATGTTAAGGCTGACTAAATTCTGCTAGTTGTCAGTTATTAACCAACCCCCAGAAATTAACTATAGTATATATTATAAGAGGAACCGACCTCTAGGTACAAGTAGAAGCTTTGGACAAAATGGTAGGTGAAAAATAATGGCATGAAGTCCCCCATATTCGGTAAGCTAAAGGAGTGTAGTACCTCAAAGGGACTTTGTGGTTTAAAGGATTTCTTATGCTGAGAATAATGTTCAGTGGCATGTGCCTATATGTAATTTTTGGTAGTTTAAAAGGTGAAATGAACTAGAAAATGGAGGGACTGGATTTTCTTTCCTTCTGTCAAATGTGTAATGTGGACAAATCATTTGACCATTTAATTTAATTCTTGGGGGCCAGCCCGGTGGCGTAGCAGTTAAGATCGCATGTTCCGAGTCGGTGGCCTGGGGTTCACTGGTTCGGATGTGGGGTGCAGACATGGCACTGCTTGGCAGGCCATGCTGTGGCAGGCATCCCACATATAAAGTAGAAGGAGATGGGCATGGATGTTAGCTCAGGGCCAGTCTTCCTCAGGAAAAAAGAGGAAGATTGGCAGCAGATGTTAGCTCAGGGCTAATCTTCCTCAAAAAACAAAAAAAAGGATAATTCTTGCTTCTTCCTTCCTAATAGTGGCATTATAGTAATGAAAATGAGTTGATAATTCAGGGGGTGGGGGAGTATTCTACAAATCAGCCTTACTATTTTACAATCTGTTTCTGAGAAATTTTGTTCATTGGAACTGTTTTCAGCTTGATTAGAACCATAGCATGTAAAACCCAAGTGGGAAGGTATCTGCACACTTGACAGTGAGGTTTCAATGAGGCTTTTCTGTGTCTCTAGGTTATTTGAGATAACTTTTTTAAAATTAGCTCTTGTCCTCCCTCTACAGGAGAATTTGCAGCCTTCAAGTAGCCACACCATCATGGCAGCATCTACTCTTATTTCTTAAGTCTTGTGTTCGTACAATTTGTTAACATCAAAACACAGTTCTGTTCCTCAAATCTTTTTTTAAAGATACAAAATTTTCACTGCATAAGCTGGTGTGGAACAGAATGGAATTTCCCATCCAACAAAAGAGGGAAGAATGTTTTAGGAACCAGAATTCTCTGCTGCCAGTGTTTCTTCTTCAACACAAATACCACGTGCATACAAGTCTGCCCACTCCCAGGAAGAGGAGAGACCCTGAGTTCTGACCTTTTGATGGTCAGGCATGATGGAAAGAAACTGCTGCTACAGCTTGGGAGATTTGCTATGGAAAGTCTGCCAGTCAACTTTGCCCTTCTAACCACCAGATCAATATGTGGCTGATCATCTGATGGGGCAGTTGCAATCACCAAGCATCGTTCTCTTTTCTGTTCTGGGATTTTGTTGTGGAGCTCTTTCCCCTAGCCACCACCGGTTAATTTCTGAGGGATGGAACAAAAATGCAGCATGCCCTTTCTGTGTGGTGTATGTTCAGTCCTTGACAAATTTTTATCAAAATGGAGCTGTTTTAATTAAATGGAGGATGAGAGGTGAGGAGGGAGGTACATTTTGATGTAGAGGAAAAGGGAATGCTGCATCTTTTTCCTGACCTACTGGGTTTCTGGCCTTCTGTTTCCTTGCTCACTGAGGGTGTCCGCCTAACCAAGCAGGCTGGAAAGTGCTGGCACACATTGCCTTCTTTTCTCATTGGGTCCAGCAATGAAGACAAGTGTTTGGGATTTTTTTTATTTTTCCTCCACAATGTAGCAAGTTCTCAGGAAAATACAGTTGATATCTTCCTCCTAAGCTCTTCCAGTCACCAAGTACTTAGTGGCTACTTTGTCCAGGGCACAAAATGCCATGGCAGTATCTAGTTAAAAGCCTACAATACTGATAACAGTTTTGAATGTGAGACATTTATGTAATTTAAATGTAAGGTACAAGTTTTAATTTGAGTTTCTTCTATTTTTATTAAAAAAAATAATTTTCAGATTGAATTGAATTGGAATAAAATACTTCCCACCAGAATTATATATCCTGGAAAATTGTATTTTTGTTATATAAGCAACTTTTAAAGAAAGATGATTATCCTTTTCTTTACCTAAATATGGGGAGTCTTAGCATAATGACAAATATTTATAATTTTTAAATTAGTGGTACTTGCTGGATCCACACTAACGTCTTTGCTAATATTTCATTGTTTCTTCCAACTTACTCCTACACTGCATCCTACATCCTCTTTCTAGTCTTTTATCTAAAATATGCAACCTAAAATAAAAATGGTGGTGTCTCCATTCATTCTCCTTCTTCCTTTTTTCCCAAGCCTGGTCTTCAAAAGGTTAGGTAATTTGACAGATGAGTTCCCCAGGCAGAGAACAGGGCAATTTTAGGGGTATTGGGACTGAGGGAGGATGTGTGAAGCCTAATGTCAGTTGTTTTTATAGAAAGAGCTGCTGTGGTATTAAGAAGCTCCTTCTTTATCTTTGCATAAATGGAAAATATAACCGAGTCGTAGCTTCCTTTGGCCTTTACTGAAGGGCGGTATAAATCACCGTAGTAGCAACAAAAGTGACTCTAGATGTATTAATGGCAGATTAATGGTAAATACCTCCCTTATCATGAGTCTAGAATCTCTTATCAGGATTTAAGAATGTAAATCAAATCAAATGTACGTAGTCCAACCAAGCTATGTAGCCAGGGACCTAAAAGAAATTAGACAGGACCTATAAAATAAATCAGGGAATTAGAAATTGTTATTTAAAATGTTCAAATTGTAACTTGCCCCACTACATCTTTCGGCCTACTAAAGCTCACTGCCGTTAGATGATTTTTGCTGAGATAACTGTATTCAGAGGAAGGCCTACTGAAAATTCCGCAGACCTGTAAAAGTGGCCCCACTAAAAGGGAAAATATCCTGAAGTTATGAATGAGTTTCAAAAGCAGTGTATTCTTAAGCCTTACACGAGCAGAGCAATATCTTAAAAAGTTCAAAAGTTACAAAGATGGAAATGATTTGTGGTGATTTGAAGAGCATCTTATATGCAGAATGCTGTCTCTCTTTGAAAAGCAGTATTTTTCTCTTTAAATATGTCCCTATAGATGCTTTCAAACATGATTGTGTTCCCTTTACCAAGATTTCAGGGAGCTGGGCTTGACAGTAGGCATGTCCTGCTGAGCAGGTGGAGCCTGCCAGAGGCCCAGGCACAGGGCCGCCTCAGGCAGCAGGAGCCCGCATGGGAGCTGGTTCTGGAGGAAGCTTAGCATTGGAATTTTCAAAACAAAATTCAAGGTGAAACACCTTTTTCTTCCCTTTCTTTTTAGTTTACTATCTCATTTGAAAAAGGGGAGCAGACGTGATCTCAAATGAAGCTATGCCCAGAAAGCAGGCTCAGGGTATTCTTGAGAGATTTTTGTAGAGCCCTTAAAACATAAAATTTTAAATTTCCCTTTGTTTTTTTCCATCAAATAGTTTTTTCTTTAGTTTACAAATGACATGAAAAAAGGGGTTTTCCTCTGAGTTTTACTTGCTTTATTTTTTGATGCTTAGACTACAGATAGACGTGTTGAGCTCCTAAGAAAATACAAGGAAGAACTCCTTGTTTGTGCAAAGCACTTTATAGGTAATTTGTGTGGATAGAACGCGGCTCCTTCACTGATTATTATCTGTCTTTTCCGTAAAGTGGCTGCAGTGCCTTCTGTAGTGTATTTTATTTTAGGTAAGGAGAGGTGAAGCCTTCTGAAAAATTTGAGAGAAACCATAAAAGATTGTTTTGAAATGTGTAGTATTTCTGATGAACTTTTTCATCCTCGAACTGCAGTCTAGGGTCCAGACTGTTGCCACTGAAATAATATTGACCAAAAAGTAGTTTATAAAAGAGATTTGTGAATAGGAAATCCAACGTGATCATTTGTATTTATGTGCACCTTAAAAGAAGATTCTTTCTAGCTGTCAAATTCTGGTTCCTGAACATCCAGTCCCTGATTGTATTTGAGATCTGGTGGGACATACTGGGGCATCCTAGGAGACAAAATCCCATATAAAGTATATGTGTTCTATTTATGTTGGTATTGGAGAAGAAAGAGCGTTACATAGTTAAAAAAGAAATAATTCAAGACTTCAACACTGTCAACCTGAAACTTTGTAAATATTTCCTAGATTCTCGTTTGGTGCAGTCACAGCTCTTTTATCACATAATGTTACCGTTTGTTCATCAGGCAATGTTTGAACTACCGCACGCCCCTCCTCAGATCTCACCCGCCCCTCCTGTACATCCACCTCTCCAGCCTCATGCAGACCTCATCTAGCTTTAGTTTGAAACACATTGCAGGGTTCAGGTGACTTCTTCAAAAAACTACCTCCTCAGAATGAGGTAATGAATAGTTATTTATTTTAAAATATGAAAAGTCAGGAGCTCTAGAACATGAAGATGATTTAGGATTTTATCTTTTATGTGTACTTGTATTTGAGCACTCTCATTTTGTCCTAAAGGGCATTATATATTTAAGCAGTAATACTGAAAAATGTAGCTCAGAGTATCTGAATGTTGTTGAAAGTGGTGCCAGAATCTATGTAGGGGTACGTTTCAGAATCTTAACCTTAAGTCAGTTGCATGAAATTAAATAGTTACGGTATCACTTCACTAACAGTGATATAATTTTAACTTTCAGTAGGCTTGGCAAGACAGTACATCTTCATAATGAGTTAGCCACAGCTTTGTCACATGCACAGATATTCCTAGAGAGAGACTGCCCAGCCAAGAGGGTAGAATGATTAGCCATTTAGCAAGATTCTCTACTTCCTCCAAGTTGGCATTGTTAGTGCTAGAATATCAGCACCTTGAGACTAGCAGATTCCAACCATTAGGCTATTAAAAAAAAGTGTGTATATATATATATATATATAGCCAGACATGGAAGGTTTACTGTGAGTTTGAACAGCAAATAGCTTACAGATCGTACGATGAAATGGTGTAGGTGGGGCTCTAGAAAAATACCTGGACAATTGCCAAATGATCTTACTGTGCCTTCATGATGCAATAACAAAGCTAAAATTTTAGCAGAAATCAGTGAATTGTGAAGAGAGCAGCCACTCTGGTCTAACTCAGCTGTGTTAATATTTTTTAGAGTGCAATTTAGACTGCAAAGATAAATGCACTAAAGAGTTTATAGCCAAAATCACATTTAAAAAAATGAGAAAACACAGGTAAATTTTCAGTGAACAAAATTATTTTTTTAAAGCACATAATCCCTAGTATAGTCAGATATATTTATCACGTAGAGCAAATAGGTTGAAATTATAGTTAAGTGACATTTCTAGAGAAACTTTTTCTACTCCCATAGGTTCTTCAAAGCATGGAACTTTTATATAACAGAAATGTTTGACATTTTAAGAAATTGCTGTAGTTTAGGGTTGAAGCAATGTATGCTGGGCAGCAATCGTATGTTAGTGAGAAGCGGGAAATTAAAATATAGGACAGAATTTGATTTATCAGTTTCCAGAGTACTGCTGCCAACCTAGACACTGATTTTTCAGTTTGAAAATGTAAACTTGCCTCCCAGGACTTGTTTGCAAATTAAGCGAGACTGTGTTGCTAATGCTGTTCTGGGTGCTATGGGGGCCAGGTGTGGTCTCTGGGGGCTTTTTCATGGGGCATTGGAATAGTTAGTGACCTGGCCAGTGGGTGTAAACTGGACACACTCCATGGTGTGTGCTTCTTGTATCTTGTTTCGTTCCTTGCCACCCCCAGGGAAGGCAATATACTGTCTTGAGCAGGTTCTCTACATGTTTTACTAAGGTGTGTGACGAATGCCGTACGTTGAGCACCCAAGGAGTGCAGTCGCATCTCTGCCTGATCTGTACATTAGCCACAGAAAAATGAAGTGGCCAGTGTATTCATATTCCATGTTGCTAGCTCTGATAGCATTGAAAATACTGGTAAGATTTTTGTTATATCCGTACACTAGACAGTAAGCTTTGTTTTGTTGTTTTCAGGTAACCTACTTTCACTTCCATTTGGGCAAAGACATTTAAATTGAAATTCAGTCTTAAGTTTTGTCAGGTGTGGGAAGAGTAACAGTTTCTATCAGGTATTTTTAAGGTAGAAGAGGACAGAAACTTAGGTCCTAAAATCTTAAATTAAGGTAACAGTGCTTTATTTAAAAATGCATAGGGACAGTTAGTCCCCACCTCAAACAAGTGATTAAGTACATCTTTTATTTCAACATCCACAACTTAGGCTGTTAATTTAGTAGTATTAATTACTAAATCAGTTTCATTAAAATGTTCAATTTTATTTAGCTGTTTGACTAATTACAATGATATAACCAGTTGTGCCTGAGGACACAGCTAGTGTTTCTGGATTTTTTTAAAGAATTCTACAGATTGAAGTACTCTTTGAAAACAAAGAAGTAAAAGCTGTTTATTTGTGTTAGTATCAAAAAAATTTTTGTGCAAACCATCTGCTTCTCCTGGCAGGCTGAGTACATTGTCCAGCATCTATGAGTGGCTGGTTCTTATAATGGTATCTATGTAGGGAATCGGGCATAAAATTCACCTAAGAGATGCGGCAGAAGGGTTCTGTTTACAGGGGTGGAGACGGGGCGGGGGGGGGGGGGCGCGGTTATGAGTAAGTTGCTTAGTACCAGTTTTGTTTTGAAAATTATTGTGTTGCATTTGTGCGTTAAGCCTTTTTTAACTCACCGTGTGTTTTGGTGGAGTACGAGTTACATAGGAGGAAACTTCAGACTAACATAAGCAACAAAGCTCACAGACCAGGCACAAACGTAGAGAAAATGGACCAAATGGGCTGGGGGAGGGTGTGGGGCTAAGTCTGAGGGTAGGGAAAAATTGTTGTGAAGGTGGGAAATAAACTATAATTACCTGAAATAAAATGTAAGAGTGCAATAACTGTGCTTTTTATTCTAAGCTGTGAACGGTTTTTTAAAAAAAAAACATTCCTTCCTAATACATTTGTGTATGTTCTATAGCTGATTAAAACCAGCTTTGTAAACATATAATGCCTTTTTAGTCATGTTAATTACCAACATAAGTGGCTAACCTTTATGTCTTCTCTTCATGTTCTGTTAGTTTACATACAGGGCTGTGTGTGTGTGCTGTACCCTTTCCCCTCCTTCATTGGAAGATGCATTCATTGGGTCCTCTTGTGTTTCCTTTGGCCGTGTCATAGGTTATAGTCTAGGTTTGGCCTTCAAGATATCGCCTGATTTGAAGGACTCTATCACAGTGATGTATTTTTGTGGTAATCTCATTTGTTGGTTGTACACTCTGACCTTTTCCTCACTCAGCAATTGCTTCTCCTAAAATATGAGTGTACAACCGATCAGGGGATTGAATTGGACCGTTCATCGACATGTCCTTTTGAATTCTGATATTCAGTAGTTATGATTGCTCTTTGGTTTAGACCAAGAAAAAGGAAATCAACACCCTTTTCATTTACTTCTTGGTTTGAGGACAATTCTTCTATAAGGGAGAGTAAAGGGAAATCCATCATGTTTTAACTGCAGTGAATTAATGGCCCCTAGTTTGCCACTCCAACCTTATGGCAATTCACATACACATTCCTCTCCTCTCTCGCTCTCGCTGCCAAAGGTTCGGGTTTAATTCACTTCAGTTCCACTCAAGCATTGAAAAGGTTCTCATGGAGTCTGGGGTTTGCCCAGTGAAAAGATGGGGACTTTTTAATTGTCCACAGACCTCTACTATACCTGCTTTGGTAAAATTACAATGGAGTAACTATTTTTAAAGCTTATTTTTCAATTCATAAAAAAAAGATTTATTTTCAGTCAAATGGAGGATGTTTCCCTCTTGTCCCTTAATCCTCAATGTTTGCTTGAATCTTTTTTTCTTAATTCTTCCCCATACCCACTTCTTGATACTTTGATTCTCTTTCCTGCTCAGGTCCCTTCATTTGTACTTTGGAGTTTTTCTCATGTAAATTTGTACAATGGAAAATATTGTTCAGTTTGGATAGAAAGCATGGAGAATTAAAAAGATAGCTGAAATTCAGATTGAAGAAATTTATTTCTGTGTAAAGTTATTTAAAAACTCTGTATTATATAAAAGGCAAAAAAGTTCTATGTACTTGATGTGAATATGCGAATACTGCTATAATAAAGATTGACTGCATGGAGAAGTCTTTATCAAGATTATTTTTGCAGCATTATCACATTGAGTAACGGAAGTCGTCAGGGTTTTAACAGTTCTTCCAGACAGGGGAGGGACTGAGAAGTGTATGTTTCGTTTCATGCATAATGTAGATTACTGCTTGGTGGGTGGAAGTTACATGAGAAATATTTTTAAAATAAGTTGTCAGGATGAATGCCTGGTACATTGTCCCAGCTACCCTGCCGTGTGCTGACACTCTTTTGTCTGGTGTTGGTGATGACCCTCGGGTATTTTATGATGCTGTGACCTGACTGCTCCCCTCCAATGGCTCAATTAAGTGTTTGCTGTAATCGAGTCATTTAAGGAGTTGTCTGTCTGGAGGAGTTCCCCTTAAAATTGTATCTTTCAATCTTTTTTGACACAACTTCCAATAATACACATTCTGTAGGAACTCAGAATGTACAACAAACATATATTTGAAACTATGCACTCACATTTTATGCTTCATTTTTGAAAAATGCTGGCTACCCCAATGAGTTCATTTTGTGCATTTAATTTCATGACCTAAAGTTTGAAAGACACCTAAACTATCTTTAGACTATGTCAAATTACTGGGCAAAATTCCCAAAAGAGAAATAAACCATTTTAAAACTTCACTTGGAAACCCTCTGTCTGAGAATATGAAGGAACAGAAAAGTCTTCAAGATGGTTCATAGATGAGGAATCTGGTTTCTGGTCTTCATGCCCCTCCAACTAATCATAAAATGCTGTCAAGATTTAAGTATTTTCTCTGAACTCAAGTTTTCTTATCTGAAAAATGTATAATTCTATAATATTTATGTTATAGAAATTCATTTTCTAAATAACCTTCATACATGATTACAACAGAGTAATTGTGGCCTTATTTTTTAAGAATGTATTCTTCTATAAAAAATTTTTCTTAAAATTTAGCCCAGAATTATGAATGCTTTCATTATTGTGATGAAATTCTATTACAAAGAACCCTACCACACTAACTTTTCTGAAATTTTCTCAGGGGCTGTGATCATCGGCCCTACTGCCTGGGTTATTTAGTTCTCCTAGTCTCATAAAATGTTAGAGCAAAAAGTTCTTAAAGATCATCTGGTCCAACGCCCCTCATAATCAGTTACTGAATATAAAGCCCCAAGGATGACTTGCCTAGGTTCACGTAGCCAGGTCTCTGGTTTCCAAGATCAGTACTACACATTTCATATATATATATATAAAATTTTGTTGTGGTTGTGACGACTGTAATGAAACTTGGATAGAAATGGGTGTTGATTCCATCACAGTGAGTTTGTAGCTAGACATGGATTGTGCCAGGCATACTCCACTTGCCCCTGCTGTCTTTGCCACGAGCAAGGCACTGCTCGTGTAGGTGACAAAAGGCAAAGGCCCAGCTGCTGAGGCAGGTCAGCACCAGCTCAGGCAGCTTCCATTTCCTCCACTGCACACTGTCCCCGTTGACACTCCTGATGAGATGGCGGCAGCAGGCAATTGGGTTGACCTCTTTTACAGAATAGTTCTAGGGGCAAGTGGAACCAAGATGACTTCTGTACCTTCCAGTAACATGCAGACAACAGGTGTTCCTTATACAGGACCTTCCCTGTCTCGTAACTTCACTAGATAATCAATTGTGTTATTTACACTCAAGGTTCCATAAGAAACTTACTAAAGTTACAAATTTGTGTGTTAAAATTTGACACTTGATCTTCTCTGTTGCCATCAATAATTCTTTCACCACCTACCTTTCCATTTATGAAGATACATCTCTCCATCTACCAGGCCACACCCTAAAACTTACTTTGAATGTACTTTTAGCTACTGATCAGGGACAAAGAGGCATCCTAAATGTCTATCTTGTTTTAGGCGGAGGGGACAGGTGGGCACTGCATCTGCTGGAATGTTGTTTACAGCTTAGTCTATCTCCATATGGAGGCTTTTCTATAAAAATCAAACTGGGATCGAAGGGTCACTAGAAATTTAGCTTAGACCCAGTGGTCTAGAAATAACAGTTGGTTCCATTTAGAGTATTTCCTTCACACCAGACATAGTTCTGAGGGCTTTCCATGCTGACCCATTTAATCTATTTAATCCATTGTATAAATGAGGAAATGGAGGCACAGATCAAAAAGGTACTCTGCCCAAACTTACAGCAAGTAAATGGGAGAGCTCTAAGTCAGCTCCAGCAAGTCTGACTCCAGAGCCTAAGTTCTTTAAGCACTGTGGCCGTTTTTCAAACGGCAGGTTGAGACCCATTAGTGGGTAGTAAAATCAGTCTCAACCAACCATTATTTTTTATGTAGAATAAAAGAGAAAATAGTGTGCATCACAGGTAAGTAGTTTCATAAAACTTGGACTATTTATATGTGTACACAAGCATATTTACATTCTAGGTCACAATGTAAAATTCTTAATAAGTCATGATCAAAAAGGTGTAGACCATGCTGTGCCGACTCAGATAATCTGGCCTGACCTAGAGCCAGCCAGCCAGGATCCGAACCTCAGCTCTCACCAGCTGTATGAGCTTGCACAAGTTACCTAACCTGTATATAGCTGAACTTCCTCATCTGTAAAATGGAAAGAATGTGAGAATTTAATAAATTAACACATATAAAGTGTTTACCACAGTGCCTGGCCCATAGTAAGTCTTTTTTTTTTTTTTTTTGAGGATTAGCCCTGAGCTAACTGCTGCCAATCCTCCTCTTTTTGCTAAGGAAGGCTGGCCCTGAGCTAACATCCATGCCCATCTTCCTCTACTTTATATGTGGGACGCCTGCCACAGCATGGCTTGCCATGTGGTGCCATGTGCGCACCCAGGATCGGAACTGGAGAACCCTGGGCCACCAAAGCAGAACATGCGCACTTAACTGCTGCACCACCAGGCCAGCCCCTCCCATAGTAAGTCTTAAGTTTTCACTATTTAACCATATATAGCCATCAATCAAATATACTTAACATCTCTTTGGCACCCTCTCCCACGTTAAGTATTTCTCCACGAGCTACATAGCAGAGAGGAAGCCCATTCCTTTGAGAGAAGGCTAGGGACAATTTCTGCATCAGCTCAAATTGGTTTCACAGCCCAAGTATGGAAAAGAAAGAGGATCCAGTATGTGGAAGTCACACTGGCTGAGCTTAGAAGACTGCTGTTTTTAAGGTTATCTTTTAATTCAAGTCAAGCAACTCTGATTGATTTCTAAGAAAAAGAGCTAACGGGATTGTCCTGTTTGAGTTCACTGTTATAGATAGTATTCTTTCCTTAAAAACTTTATGATATGGGGGGGCGAGGGTGGAGAGAACAACAAAACTGAGACCCAAGAAGTACAAAGAGATCTGACGGTCTTTTAAAACAAAGTGTTTATCAGCTGAGACAGATCATTCTTACACAAGGGAGTAAACACGAAACCAAGGGCAGTGTCTCCAGCACCCCCTGCAGGTCAGGACTGCTGGAGCTGGCTGTGGGGCAGGGTGAAACTCTTCCACCCGCTTCAGCTTTAGCTGCCATTTTGCTAGCTCTGACAACTGAGAACTAAAGGGAGGGGAAACCTAAGGACTGGGAACTGGCATCAGAGAACCCCCTGCTTAGAGTCTGCCAGGGGCTTCTCAGTGCGTTTAACAGAAAATCTAAACCTGTAACCATGACCTATTAACCTCATAGGCCCACCCTCTCCTCACCTGCCAGAACCCCACTGGACTTTCTGTGACCTTGGTCCCACCCTAGACCTTGGTTCTCCGGTTCCTGGTCCCTGGAGCACTCTTCCCTCAGACCCTCCCACAGCTGCTTCCTCCTCCTGGTTCAGGTTTCAGCTCAAATGCCTTCCGCGCCCACTCAGAAGATCAGCACCCACCCATCATGTTATTTCCTTCACAGCACTTAGTAAACCTCATGTAGTTATTTACTTATTGCCTGTCTTCCCTTCCTAAAATCCAAGTTCTCTCTAAAGAGTCTTATCTGTCTTGTTTAGCATTGTATTCTCAAGGCTTAGGTGGTCAAAAGCCTATATTAAAATATGAATAGTTATGCTTCTGGGCAAGTCATTAAGCCACTCTATACTGCAGATTTTCATCTGTGGATAGAGGAAAATTCTGTTCTACCTATTCTCAGAATTGTGATGCTGCAAAAGTTGGAAAGTACTTTGAAACAAATTTTAGAAAAAGTGGAATATCCTATTTCACCCTTGTCTCCCATTCCTCTGGCCCTGAGAATTTCTAGTTAGAAGTGTGTTCTAAACGAGTTCCACGAATGGATGCTCAACACAATGCCCAGCCCACAAGAGATACGTAAACACAGTAAACGGACTGTGCTGACCTCTAACCTCTGTATACTCAGGGCAAGAAGATACCAGTAGAGAAATGGCAAGAGTTTTCACATTAACTGTCAACATATGTATGACTAAGACATTAGCTAAGGAGGCAGAGTGTATGACACTGTAGTAAGTGTGGGGTCAGACTTAATGTCACCACTCATCAGTGTGTGATGCTAAGCAAGTTACTGCATCTCCCTGAGCCTGGATGTCCTCACTGATGCATGGAGCTAACACCTATCTGTGCCATGGAGTACGCAAGAGGATCCACTGACAGGGCCTGTAAGCAATTATCACAGCAGTTGGCAGCACAGGAAATGAGGGGGGCTGTCATTATTAGAAAACATCCATAATTCAGTTCCTCATTCTTGACCAAAACACTTTAATTTACAACTTTAATGTACAATATGAAGTCTGTAATTTCTTGAAATTCTCACCTGGCCCCTGCAGAGAAACAAAAGTGGAAAGCTTTAAGTACTTTTATTTTCAATAATTCAAATCCACAATTCATGTTCATTCAATTATTCAGGCATTTGCTGAGCACCAATCATGTAAATAGCCATGTGACAGAGGAGAGAAGCAATATTACCTTGCTCTCTCAAAGGGTTTACAGTCCAGTCACTACAACAAGATGTTAATAATTGTGTGTGGGAATACTGGGAAATCTCTAAGACGACGGGAAGAGGTTAGTGCTAGCAGACAG